TTCTCTCTCTCTCTCTCCCTTCCTCTCTGAAATCAATAAAAATATAGTTTTTAAAAATAAGGAAGTGGTGGGAATGTCCAAACTAGGAGTCGGGGGCTGAGCCTAACGGTACCCCCTGAGTCCTCAGAACCCCAGACACAGCCCAGAGCAAGTCCCTCACCGAACAGGTGCACAGAGCTGTCCCGGCTCCTTCCCCTCCCTCGGCTCTCAGACTCCCTGCTGCATCGGGTGGAAAACAGCTCCGGACACTAGAAGGTCACTTAGAGGCCGTCTCGGAGACACCCACACCTGATGCTCAAGACGAGAATAGACAGTCTTCTATTTTGCAGGTTCCCAGGCAGTGAAACATCGATTTTCTTACGAAGAGGCATCGAGTCTAAATATTTTAAAGACCTTTCCATCTAAGGTAAGTCTGAGGGCCTGTGAATAATGTGAGAGCGGAGTGTAGGTGGCCCCCTGCCTCTCCCGCCTCTGTGTGCTCAGGAGGGTTGATTTGATATCTTAGTTATTTTCACAGAGGAGTCTCGCGTCTCTCTCATGCGCCCCAAGAATAATTTTTAAAAATATTTTGTATTGGTTTCAGAGCAGAAGGGAGAGGGAGAGAGAGAAACATCCGTGATGAGAGAGAATCATGGATCGGCTGCCTCCTGCACGCCTCACACTGTGGATCGAGCCTGCAACCCGGGCATGTGCCCTGATCGGGAATCAAACTGTGACCTCCTGGTTCATAGGTCCAGGCTCAACCACTGAGCCACCCTGGCCGGGCTCTCCCAGAATAATTTTCAAATCTGTTCTAGAAGTCCATGCATGACACAGCAGGTGACCATCTGGCCTCTGAGTCGGGCGTGAATACGTGCCCCTGTGTGCCTGTATGTGTGTGACTGTGTGTGCGTTCCCCTGTGCATGCCCATGTGTGCATGCATGTGTGTGCATGTTTTGCCAGCATGTGTGCCTGTATGTGTGTGACCATCTGTGCATGCCATCGTGTGTGCATCCCTGTGTGTGCATGTGTGTGGTCATGTGTGTGCACATGTGTACCTATATGTAGGTGCGCATGTGGGCGTGCCTGTGTGCCTCCATGTGTGTGCGCTCATGTGTGCCTGTATGTGTGTGTGACCACCTGTGCATGCCATCGTGTGTGCATCCCTGTGTGTGCATCCGTGTGATCGTGTGTGAGCCCCTGTGTGCCTGTGTGTGTGTGCCTGTATATGTGTGTGCTTGCATGTGTGTGGGCGTGCCCATGTGCCTCCATGTGTGTGCTCATGTGTGCCTGTATCCCTGTGTGCACATGTGTGTGATCGTGTGTGTGTGCCTGTATATGTGTGTGCCTGTATGTGTGTGTGCTTGTATGTGTGAGGGCGTGCCTGTGTGCCTCCATGTGTGTGCGCTCATGTGTGCCTGTATGTGTGTGTGACCACCTGTGCATGCCATCGTGTGTGCATCCCTGTGTGTGCATCCGTGTGATCGTGTGTGAGCCCCTGTGTGCCTGTGTGTGTGTGCCTGTATATGTGTGTGCCTGTATGTGTGTGTGCTTGTATGTGTGTGGGCGTGCCTGTGTGCCTCCATGTGTGTGCGCTCATGTGTGCCTGTATGTGTGTGTGACCACCTGTGCATGCCATCGTGTGTGCATCCCTGTGTGTGCATCCGTGTGATCGTGTGTGAGCCCGTGTGCCTGTATATGTGTGTGCCTGTATATGTGTGTGCCTGTATATGTGTGTGCCTGTATGTGTGTGTGCTTGTATGTGTGTGGGCGTGCCCGTGTGCCTCCAAGTGTGTGTGTCCATGGTTGTGCCTATGCCGGCAGGGAGACCCGGCAGGACAGGCGAGTGAGCTCTGCTCCCAAGCACAGGCAGGGCCTCACTCTGACGCGGACACGCCCGTGGGGCGGGAGGGGTGCAGACCTGGTGACACCCTAAGCCAGGAATCCCTTTCACCCACTGCAGACGGGGCATAAAAATATCTCCGCGGACATCGTTCCCAAGGGGGGAGCGGTGCACTTTCAATGCCGCCTGTTCCAACCAAACTGCGCTGGGGGAGGAGGGGGTCAGACTGCACCGGGGTGCACTTCCAGGGCCTGGGGAGGAGAGCGTGCCAAGTGGCCTTGGGGGACCCAGAGGGCCGTGTTGGCATCTGCCTCCTTCTGCAGAGAAGGGAGGTGACGCAGGGAAGGGGACAGTCTCCCCCAGCCGTGTGGCCAGTTCCCCGTGGGAGGCCCTGGGCCAGCCCAGCAGCTGCTGCCCCACACCCAGCGGGGACCCCTCCTGACGCCCCCCCACCCCGCCCTGGGCTCCTGCTTCCTGCCCCAGCCACACGGGCACCATGGCCACCCCTCCACCAGCCTGCTTTGCACGCCACCCAAAAATAACAACATTTGATACCGGGCCTCTTAAGGCTTTGGCCGGGGTCGTGTTTCCAAATTCTTGACTTAAGTATTGTACATGAGAGCTCCTTTTTTTTTTTTTTTTTTCCAGTCGGGCTATTTTTTCCCTCTTTTTTTTTTTTTTTCCTCTCGAGATGTTGGGAGAACCCCAACCCAGGAATCGGCGCTTAATGGGTCACGGGGTATGAATGGCTGTGTTGAGATGTAACACAGAACTCTTTGTACTATCAGGCAACTGGACCTAAAAAAAGTGCCTCCCCCCCTCCGCCCCCCCAGCAGCCAGCACTGAGCAGGGCTGCGGGGGGAGGGGCAGCGCTGCCGAACACAGGCTCTGTCTATATTTGTCCACTATGGACGTCTATTTACAGCCGGGCTGTGCGCACAGGACACCCTATTCCTGCCAGAGGGGCTCACAGGACATCAGTCCGCATATATTTTTGTGCTGCTGATCGTGCGTAGACATAAACTCGGGGGATAAAGCGAGTGTGTGGGAGGGCGAATGCTGGGCTCTGGGTTCACAGCCCGAGCCCCGAGCTCTGTGATGGCCACTTCCTCCTCGACCTGCAAGGCTTCTCATCCGTAAACCGGGGACTCGCATGCCTGGTCCCTGACAGTCGGCTCTCAGTGACACGCGATACTTTGAAAAAAGCAGGAGATAAAATCTGAGGGCTCCCCTTTGCTTTGAGGCACTGTTTCAATATGAGATGGTGGCCCGGATGGTGTGGCTCAGTGGTTGAGCGTCGACCTAGGAACCAGGAGGTCACGGTTCGATTCCCAGTCAGGGCACATGCCCGGGTTGCGGGCTCGATCCCCAGTGTGGGGCGTGCAGGAGGCAGCCGACCCATGATTCTCTCTCCTCATTGATGTTTCTCTCTCTCTCCCTCTCCCTTCCTCTCTGAAACCAATAAAAATATATCTTAAAAGGATAAATAAATATGAGATGTTATCCCGACTAAAGTACATTTTCATCAGGGGGGCCAGTTCTTTGATGACGTTCTAGCATGACCCAAAGTATCTACGAATTTGCAACCCATGGGCGGCGGTGGAGACCCGAGGGATCCTGAAATGGACTCATGATTCCCAGGCCCGATGGCCTACTTCTGGGTGATGGCGGCAAGCCTTGGGTGGCGTTGTCAGGACGCCAATTTGGGGGAACGCAGGGCGTGTGACCGAGCAGCTGACAAGCGCAATCATTCTCAGAACCCTGTGGCTCCGAGTGAGTGCCCGCTACCGAGAACCGGGTTTTTGAGAAACAGCAAGTTCAGGTTACAAGCCTACTGGGCAGAAACTCGAACTCCGGGGGCTGGCGGCTTGCCCCGGGCGCGCGGGGGTGGGCCGGGGTTCTGGCCATTGAGTGTCCTAGGTTTAAATTCTGAGCCCGTAAGCAAAAAAAAAAAAAAAAATGGTTGGAAGGGTTCCCTTACCTTTTGGAAACTGCAAAACAAAACCTCCTTTGGCAAAGAGGCTCTTTCTTTCCTGCTGGCTGCTTGGGCAGGGTTTGCTTCTGGCTGCCATGGCCCACCTCCCAGTGGCCTGAATGTCCCTCTTTCCGGTGGGTGGTGTGTGTGGGGGGGAAGGTGGCTGGCTGGGGGCAGGCAGGGTTAACACTCTTGTTCGAGCTGTTGGACTCACCAGAAAGTTAACAAAATAGTGGGGGGTCAAAGCGGGGCCGAGCTGGGAGGGTTCTACTCATCGGTGGGGTTTAGTATTTCAGGGGCTGGTGTTTGAGGGGTTGCCAGGGCAGGGAAGCAAGGAGGCAGGCGGGCAGGGCCGTGTGGTCCTAGTGCTCCGAGCTCGGGGGCAGCCCCTCTGATGCCGTGGACTGCACTGAGCACGCACCTCATCCAACACGTCAGACTCCCCAGGAGGCTGTGCCGGTCTCCTTCCTGCCCAGGCTCCATAAGGGAAGGGGACATCCTCCCCCAGCCAGGGAAGGGGAGCCTTAAAACAGCTTCCAACAGGAGGTCAGGGTTCGATTCCTGGTCGGGCCACATGCCCGGGTTGTGGGCTCGATCCCCAGTGTGGGGCGTGCGGGAGGCAGCCGATCCATGATTCTCTCTCATCATGGATGTTTCTCTCTTTCTCTCCCTCTCCCTTCCTCTGTGAAATCAGTAAAAATATATTTAAAAAATTTTTTTCTGTACCAATGAGGCCCCCTGAAGTGTTACTTGGAAATACTGGGAAGAAAAATGGTAAAAAGGAGGAGATGGGATTTAGAGTTCGAAGAGGCTTTGTTAGTAACTATATGCCTTTAAGCAAGTCGCTCGGCGTTTCTCTGCCTCCGTTTTCTGTTCCGTAAAAGGGCTCCTGACATGTTTGTTTTATAGGCTGTTACGAGGATTAAATGACCGGAGGGAAGCAAGGCCTTGGCCATCACGAGGCGTGGTGTGAGTGCTCGAGAGAATAATGTCTTTTTCTGCACAGCTTAGAATTACGGCCTGTTACGGAGCAGTAGCCTTGCTGAATTCCCCCAGCGTCGTGCCCCGACACGCCTCCGTCCCCAGCCCAGAAAGATGCTCAGGTCATAGGAAAACCGCAGAGGCCCGGCTGGCGTGGCTCAGGGGTTGAGCGTTGACCTATGAACCAGGAGGTCACGGTTTGATTCCCGGTCAGGGCACAGGCCCGGGTGTCGGGCTCCATCTCCAGTGTGGGGTGTGCAGGAGGCAACCGATCCGTGATGCTCTCTCATCATTGATGTCTCTCTCTCCCTTCCTGTCTGAAATCAATAAAAAAATATATTTTTTTAAAAAGGAGCTGGAGCTGGAATTTCAGCCTCAACAGTCTGTTCCAGAGAGAAATTTGTGAACAGAAAGATTGAGTGAGCCCGTTTGTGAATGAATGAATAACGATGACCAGATGTAGGTTCTCTTCATGCCATTTTTTCTCTCCAATCTCTCACATGCCATCTCTTTTCCTGCCTGTGATGATGAGTTTTGACCTCATTCCATAAAAGTCCTCCATCCCCATAAACTCACCGATGAGCGGTCCCAGGCTCAGTTGAGTCACCAGTGATCCTCCACTCGGGTAATGTTTGTCACCTTGAATGCGTTCCTTCGGTTGCTACAGATTTGTGGTGTTCACGATCTCTGAAGGCTCATCTGCAGAGAACTGGGATTTACAAGAAAATGAAACGATTTTTTTTACAAACCCAACATTTTTACCGAGGCCAAAATCCAATGAAGATGTCCTTTTATTTTTCATCACACATCATTTTTATTGATTTAAAAGTATATATTTTTATTGAGTTTATTTATTTCAGACAGGAAGGGAGAGGGAGAGATAGAAACATCAATGATGAGTGAGAATCATTGATCAGCTGCCTCCTGCACACCCCACACTGGGGATAGAGCCCGCAACCCGGGCATGTGCCCTGACCGGGAATCGAACCCGTGACCTCCAGGTTCATGGGTTGATGCTCAACCACTGAGCCATACTGGCTAGGCTATTGATTATTTTTTTAAAGGCAATATTGTCAAATATATCCTCATCCCCCACCCTCCCTTCCCTACCTGCCACCAGCCACACTAATAGCATGCTTGCTTTCATTTTTAAAAAGAGTCCTTATCTTTTTTACAATATATTTTTCTTGATTACAGAGAGGAAGGGAGAGGGAGAGAGAAACATCAATGGTGAGAGAGAAGCATGGATCAGCTGCCTCCTGCATGCCCCCTACTGGGGATCAAGCCCACAACCCAGGCATGTGCCCTGACCGGGAATTGAACCGGGACCTCTTGGTTCATGGGTCGATGCTCAACCACTGAGCCACACCAGCCGGGCCCATCCTTGCTTTTAAATTTATGAATGGAATTGGGTAAACCCTTTTGGGTGGTTGATAGGTAAGCTGGGCCTCCACTAAACGAATCTGAGCACAGAGTCTTTTAAGAAAAAGATTAACATCTTTTACTTATGGTCTGCGTTTTCACTTTCTTCCCACGAGGACTGTACACCCACCAAGGTGATGATAACTCACAGAGCACCTGGTCCCATGGGTGTCATAGGTACAGACTCAGGCCCAAGAGACGACACATCTATGCCAGCAGGGGGCGCCCCTCCCCTCCAGTGCAGTGGTTCTCAACCTTCCTAATGCCGAGACCCTTTAATACAGTTCCTCTTGTTGTGGTGACCCCCAACCATAAAATTATTTTCGTTGCTACTTCATAACTGTAATTGTGCTACTGCTATGAATCGTCATGTAAATATCTGATATGCAGGATGTATTTTCATTGTTCGCGACCCACAGGTTGAGAACCGCTGCTCCAGTGTGTCACAGCTGTTGGCTATCACCCCCTTTCCTAGAACCAAAACTCGACATGTCCAGTGGTACATGCCCACAAACCTAATGGGCATCACATATACCCAGTGCTTTCTCATGTCTGGTTGGCCAATGAAAAACCAAAAAAAAAAAACAGTTCTAGAGGTTTTCCCAGTTGGATTCCTGAGCCCCAGGGAGGTAAGTACACGGCAATTTAAATAAAATCAAGAAATAGAAGCACGATAGTGAACTGAATGACCTGAAATGGCCTCCCGACGCCCAAGAACACGCGGAGATTTCCTGACCTTTGTCCCCGGGCGTCTGTGGACCTGGGACAGAAGTGGGCCGTCCTGAGCCTCCTCTCACGCACTCGAGTTCGCATCTCTGGGCACAGTTCCCTCGGAGGTGACTGCTGGGTCAGACAGACAAACAGTCACAGGACAAGAACTTCCCAGGATTCCAACTGCGCCCTGGAAAGACTTCCATGTTCCCCGATAAAATAACATAAGGAGCCCACTGTTTTGTATGACTTCCACTTGGAGATTCTAAAATGGGTCCGGCCGGGGTGGCTCAGTGGTTGAGCTTCGACCTGGTTGGATTCCCGGCCAGGGCACATGCCCGGGGTTGCGGGCTGGATCCCCAGGGTGGGGCGTGCAGGAGGCAGCTGATCCATGATTCTCTCTTATCATTGATGTTTCTCTCTCTCTCATGCCCTCTGAAATCAATAAAAAAAAACCACATTTTTTTTTAAAAAAAGGGGGGCGACTGACTCCCCCGTGGGCATATCCTGAGTCTGCGTAAGGAGCACACGTCGATGAGCCTGCACCACGCACTGGCTCCTAAGTCGGGCGCCCCTCATCACGACTGTTTACCCCACCAGCCGGGAACACTTGCCTTATTATAGCCACAGACTTAAAAAAAAAAAAAAAAAAGCGGCAGCACAATTTCCAAAAAGGGAGTAACATTTGGGGCGGCTCTTCCTGTGCCTCTCCAACTTCTCCGACGTCGGGTTGGGGGGCCTGGCTGCAC